AAAGTAAATTACCTACAATACCATAGTGCTTAAGTTTGATCAACAAAAGATTTATATCAACTCGATCGAAGGCCTTACTAAAATCCGTATAAATGGAGTCCACCTGGTAACCTCTTTTTAATGAGTTTGAGATATAATTACTATAAATTGAGAGATTTGTCAGTGTACTGCGCTTAGGCATAAAACCATGCTGTTTAGTGGAAAGGATATTATAGTAACTATCGAGAAGTTTATCAGCTATAATGGATTCAAGAACCTTACATAATGATGAAATAATACAAACTGGACGATAATTTTTAACATCAGTTTTTGATCCCGATTTGTGAATTGGTACGATAAACGATGATTTCCAACGGACTGGGCACAAACCCGACCTTAATGATTGCTTAAAAAGGATTGTTATAGGTAGAGTAAGAAATGGGCTACACATTTTCAAAAAGTAAGCTGGTATTACATCAGGTCCCGGATTGAAATTATTTTTTAAAGATACAAATTTTTGGAAAACAGCATCAAAATTTATATCAAGATTGTTAATCACTTGGAGAATTTCAGAATAATTCGTTGTCGAATTACGGGTATTATCACTTGGTGTTTGGAAATGTTGTACATAAACCTCCTCAAAAAAATCGGCAAACAAGTTACAGATTTGCTGGGGATCATTAGAGCTTACATTATTGTAGGTTACAAAATTAGGAACAGAAACTGAGTTACCTGATTTAACAAATTTCCATAAATTATTACTGTTGACGTTAATGTTTTCTTCTGTTGTTGATATTAATGTTGCGTAGTCACCTTTAATGTATTTTTTTACAAGAGAACGAAGATGTTTGAACTTGGTAAAGTGTTCTGCGTTATGCGTGTGTCTAAATGTAGCGAACATCTTATTTTTCTTCTTCACGAGCATTTTTGTAGCTTTAGAAAACCAGGTTGGGAAATTGTTATTTTTTATCATAGATTTACTAATAAAAGTAGAGCAGGCGTTACTTATCGCATCATAAAAATTATTAAAATTTGTTTCAACATCCGTTGTACTCAGAAGGGCGTTTCAGTCTAGGGAACCAAAATAATCATTAATAGAATCGTAAGGTGCATTTTTAAAGCTAAATTTATATAATGGTGGAGATTCGATTTCGCAAAGATCTGAAGGGATAATTAATTTTGCATTACAAGGGGGATGATGTCGATCCACGTCAGGAACAATACTATAACTGTCCCTTTGGACACTGAAGTTTACAGAATTTGAGAGAGTTAGATTCAACGTATTGTTATTATGGTTTAGAATGTCATTTACTTGATATAATTCGAGATAATTAAAAGAGTCTACTACAATGTTATACAGTTCAGAATTATTATGTATAGGTCTTAACGCAGGTGAATTAGTATTATCATGAACCCTTTCTATATTTGGCATATTATAATCGCCTAGAATACACAGAATAGAATTAGGAAACCTATCTCTTACACTATCAAGGGAAGATGTATGGTCAAGATAAACGTCTACATCAGATGCTGGTGGAATGTAAACTCCTCCGAAAATAATTTGATTTTTTCCTACAGACATGGAGATAAATATTTCCTCGCATCTTGAATTGTCCATATTGATGTAGAGTGATGGATATCTTGAATGAACTGCGATGAGTACTCCTCCTCCTCGAACTTTATTACTAGTACTTGAGTCCCTATCATGACGATATACATTATAGTTTGACCCAAAAATTTCGGAACTTTTAATATCAGGACTAAGACCCGTCTCACTCAACACCATCACATCATAATTAAGATTAATAGTCTCGCGATAAAAATCAATTACTTTGATTCTAAGACCCCTTACGTTCTGGTAAAAAATTTGTAGAGTTACTTGTCCTTTCGGATGTTTTTTGATACGTCAACAATTTTCGGTACTTTGTTTATGAACCTAATTGTTTTGCCAGTATCTCCGCTTTCCTGAATTGCATTCAGTTTTTCTCGCAATTTCTTGAGGTAATCCCGTTGCATCGGTGTTGAATCGCTCTCAATGTTGACTCCATCTGTTAACTTTTTTTTATTACGAAGAATTAACATTACATCTGAATTACACTTAAGTTCAACTTTAATCGGCCTATTTTTAGAATTGGAAAATTTCTTTAATCGTACACATTTCACAGAAGAAGTTTCAATGTCGGTAGATATTTGCGATATATAATTATTAACAATTTCAAAATCGTCTTGAGATTGCTCTTTCGATGTTGTTTTATCTGATTCCTTGATGTTGAAAAAAATAACATTATTCTCTCTACGTTGTCTATCCAAAATCTCCGTGACTATCGAATTATAAACGAGACCTTCGTTATAACTATCATTAGTAGAAATTTTTTCAGCCTTATCAGAAACATGCGATTTCAAATTAATAATTTCATCCTCTAAACGTTTAATTGTTGATTCCATCTGATTAACTTTAGCCAAGCAGGATTTCATATCAGAACAGGTGTCACAGTAAAAATTGATTCTCCGATCTTTGAGTTTAACACATTGTAATTCAGTTGCTGATAATCCACTGCATGTAGAGTGGAAAAAACACTTACACAAATCACACTGCACTTTTTTATCGGATACAAACTTCTTGCACTTTGCACAATTAATTGGCATTGTGATGTTTAGCATAAATATACAAATGAAACGCTCAACGATGTTGCTGCACTCAGAGCAGTATAATTGTATCAAAGAATATACAAAGTGGATGGGCGGGGCTACTGCTTGTTAAAATAAGACTGAAGATTTTTGAGAATACAGTTAAAATTTCGTCACGGTATTGTCACGACTGAGGTGTTCTAAGGGGTTGGTAGAGCGGGGTAAAGAAGCCCAGTTCGTGAGTTTACGTTATTTTCTATTAATAACTCAAATACAATAAAACTACTTACTGTTTTGTTGGGAGAAACATGTCACAGGTTCTTTTTCTTTTTCTTGCCACAACCCAACTCCTTAGAACACCTCAGTCGTGACAGTATTTTGCAGCATTTATGTTTCCTGAAATGAAAACATCATTATTTTGTTTTTAAATATTAAAAACCTCTTTGCCATAAAAAATTGGATTATTATTCTGCGTTGGCTAATTGCAGTCCAAACACCAACCGTCTGGGGATATTGGGGCGACTCAATGAAAAAGTGTAGATTTTCTAAAGTCCACAGTCTTGTGTTTTGTGAGTTTACATAGCCACTAAGATGAAAGGATATTTGAACAGTGAAAAACGTTTTTTCAAGATGGTCACCCAGATCCATAGTATTTAGAAACCATTCACAGTATTGAACTCTTTGAGGAAAGTCTGTTGGATGTAATTCATGTACAGATGTGAGACGATAAGGAAACAAATGAAAATTTTTTGAGCGTTATAGGTCCCAACAGACAAACTAAGTTGTTGTGATAAATGACGGATAGAAGTACCCGAGATTTCTCTATTACTTCTCTCGCTTCTTCAATTAGTTCTGGAGTTCGTTTCTTTGAACGGCCACTTCCAGGTTTTCGTGTCACAGATCCATTTTCTTAGAAATTTTTTAAAAAGACATTTAAAGTTCGTCGAAATTGCGTATACTCTACGGCAAAGTTAGGAAATTCTTCAATCGAATACTGCCAAGTTCCATCTTCTTTTATACCGTTTCGGTAGTAACACCATGAGTATTTTGTGTTCTTCAGAAAAAGCCATTCTTGTTAAAAAATGCCTGAAAAGCAAAACGCTAGTTCTAAAAAGAACCGATTTTTGTTACGCAAATAATACAAAAAGGTGAAATCACAATAAACTACGAAAAACTGATACGGAGGTTAGGAAAGCTGGACGTCAAACGCACTGGCACTTGAAAGCTTTTATGATGTTCTCTGTCATGAACAGCTCCAAAGAGTGACTACACTACGATCTTATGCAAAAGCCTGAAGCACAGTAACAGGGGATATGATTTGACTATCTTGCCAAGTATTATAAAGCTCGGACAAAATAGTATATTGACCAGTCGACCAATAAAGTAGAGCTGCTGATGTCGCTAAACTATGAAACAGAGACTATGTTGATTCTCTCTAACGAACTTTAGGAAAAGCTTGATCAGTGACGCACAGATGTCTGCAATTGTGAATTCACAGTGTCCGTGTATAATAATATTTCTTTGTTTTCGTCAGAATAAAGAACCTCTTTGTGTCCCCTAATAGGAGTATTTTGTACATGATTTTTCGTATTAACGTGTATGATTTTTTGTTTCACTGACAAATACAATAGGGTCTCTCGACAAAGCTGAACACATCAAACCAATAAATAAATTCTTCAAAAAAAAAACAAACAAATGTATTTATATATATATATATATATATGAAGCTATTAAACCATTTCCTTGCAGCGCAAAAAACGGGCAAAAGGAAATAAATTGTCATCAAGCAAATGTTCAGCGAAATTTACTTTAGACCTTCAAACGATAAATACAAAATGAAAGTAAATTCCGGCATTACAAGCAATTCGAAGTACAAAATAGGGAAAGCTGCAACGATATTCAAGACATTCAAAACTGACAAGTTTTAAGTTGAAAGGTTGCAACGCAGTTTGTACTCTCGACCACTACCAACAGCCCCATTACTATTATGCACGTATATTAATTACAAAAATATTACTATATTCTTTTTCAGTTAGTATTCAGTCAGCACGGGTCGTCGTGCTTATATGAAAAAAAATTACCATAGCAATAAATTATTACCTCTACTGAAATTGCATAGGAAAATATTTCCGTTTTAATTATCAGAATGCGTACAGTTTCGTTGGTTATTGTTATTGCATACTTCGCAGTATCATTTGAAGTTGATTATTACTGTATGTCATCTGTATCAATACGTTGTAGAATAAACGCGTTTCAATTATATATTTTCATCAACAACTTTTAGTCAAAGGTAAATCATATTCCAGCTAAGTGTCTGCCAGTTTCTACCACTGGTATTAATGATTCGTTTTTCTAGTAATAACTAACTTCTAATTTTTGTTTTTTTTTTATAGTTCCCCCACAAAAGCCGACGATAATCGACGAACGAGGCAAAGAGGTTCCATCTTTAGCAGGTCCCTACGAAGAAGGAGGAGACATGAAATTAACTTGTATTGTTAGCGGGGGTGAGTTCAATTTCTCTTTCCCACACCGTTTTATTGATTTTTATACACACCGATTTTACTTCTTCGATACAACAAGGTCTCGCTGCCATTATTAGAGACAGTAATTTATATAGTGACATAAAAAGAGATAACTTGGAGTTTATTAAGTCCCGGAATGTTTTTGTTGATTTACGACATTAACAATAATTATTGTTTGGTCGGTAGCGCATGCCGACCTATAACCGTTTTGTTTTTACATCGGTCTCCATTCATTAAGAGAAGCACTGAACTGGTGAAACTTCAAGCGATTTCTGTAATAATCGAAGCGCGCTGATTCGTAATGAAAGCTTTGGAACGGCATTATTAAAACAATTTTCCGCCGAAATAAAGCGAACGAACTCATCGGTTACTGTTCGAATTGACGATTTTTATTGTCGTCGAGGGAGAACACCTCTAATAAAAACTGTAATATGGAAGTCATAAAGAATAGAATCGATCTATTACTTGTGCACTAAACTTGTTGGGACTAAGCTTCCATGAATTCAAAGTGTTTGGTGTCCTATTAATTTAATTTAATACATGCAATTACATTTTGTTATTGCATTAAGATTTTTGCAATTTTTCTGAATGATATATGTTTTGTGTCTTCTGATAGTACCCTTACAAATTGTCGTTACTCTTACAGTCTTACACTGACCATAAACAACAGTGAAATTATAAACAAAACGAATTTTTGAAAGAGTGTAGCGATAAAAAATAGAAAAACGTAAATTCGGAAAGACAAACCGACAACGAACCACATTTAAAATATTATTTTTACACAATTATTTCCCTTTTTTGTTGGATATCAATTCTCAAGTATCCAAATCATTTCGTTGGACATCTTTTTACATATTGTTTTGGTTTCTCCTCTTAGTGGTAACAGACAAGAAAAACCCACCCACAATACATCCAACATCCCCAAGTTTCAGCTGGCATAAAAATTCCAATATTTAAGTCGATTCGAGCGCATTCCGTTCGAATCCATACGAAAAGAAAACGAAAATAGCTTAGGAATTTATGAATGCGGCGTGTGGGTTGTATGCGGGACAATTTTTATCGACTGGGGTAATGGACGGCGCGAATTTGAAAGGGTTGTCAACCCTGACTGGTTTGTGACTCCGTGATTATGTTGTATAGTAGGAAAGTTATTATGTTGTACGTAGCGCCACGTACATTCGTTCCGGAGCCTCCGGGGAGAACATGTGCCATGTAAGTAACTAAGTGGGCTCGTATACGTGACAACGGTACCTCGGTGTCTACTCCTCCTCTAGCGAAAGTTAAATATTGTCTGCTCGGCTGTGCTGTTTAATGTTCGAAGTTGGAACTTTTACGTTATTTATTTACCCAAACTGCAGTTTCTGCCTAAATGGCACACAGTTTATATTGTTTAGAATATGCGCAACTCGGTTCTAAAATACGATGCCCGTTAACGACAACGAGAAACAGAAACTCCATTCAGGATATATTCTTACAGGTGTGTGATATCCAAACCTATAAATATCTCTAAAACTTAATAGTAGGTACCTAATTCCATTTCTATACAGTGAATATGATAACTATAATTCGGATTTTTCTTAGATTTTCATATACTTATTTAAAATGTTTAGGAATTCCTCATTGTTACCTGTGAGTAATCGATACAGAGTGATTATAACCACCGAACCGCAGCTAACACCACAGACGTCACAATCCATTTTGCTACTAATAAACTAATAATATTACATACACTAGGATATATCCAATTTAAATTTTTATTACAAGAGATTGCAGTAGCTTCATGTTTGTTGTGTTTCCGACATAAGTGGTCGTAAGTCATTTATTTATAGTTGTAAATAAATAAAATAAATAAATAAATAACTTTATTAGTACGTAGTTACAAAATATGTTTCGTACAAGTCATATCATTACCTATAGCTATGAACAACTCAGTCTGTTTATATCTTTATCTGTAAGAAAATCTTCTATGTTAAAATATGCTTTTTTACCTAAATATTCTTTGATTTTTGTTTTAAAGTTTGGCATATTAAGTTCTTTAATAGACATCGGCAATTTATTAAATAGTTTCACACAAAAATAATTTACACTATTTTGATTTTTTTTTAATCTAACCTTACTTAAACATAGCGCACTATTGTTTCTAGTGTCATGACTATGTATTTCGTTGTGTCGTTTATAGTCTGCAGTGTGAGATTTAACATAAATAAGGCAATTGAGAATATAAATACTAGGTGGAGTAAGAATATTTAGTTCGATAAAGTGCTTTTTGCAGTGTTCCCTAAATTTAGCTCCTGCCAAAATGCGTATTGCTCTTCGTTGTAGTTTGAACAACCGCTCGAGAATGCACGAATGACCCCATACAAGAATTCCGTATGTTAAATGAGACTGGCATAGTGCAAAATAGGCCATTCTCATCATACGATCTGAAACCTGTCCCTTCAAATTTCTTAACAAAAAAATACTTTTACAGACTTTCTTGGCGGTTTCTTCACCATGAGCATGCCACTGAAGTTTATTGTCTACATGAATTCCCAAGAATTTTACTGAATGAGCAAAATGGATGGGGTTCTCGAACCTTTTTAATGTAAAAATCATATGTTCCGACTTATCTTGATTAATTTGAAGCCTATTGCTTTTGAACCACTCAAAAGCTTCCGACTGCGCATCCTCGCCCATTGCTATGGCTTCGATAACTGATGTCGCCTTGTTTAACAAAGTCGTGTCGTCAGCATAAAGTACTGCCCTTGTAGAGAGAGAAGAGGGGAGATCATTTATGAATATTAAGAATAAGAGCGGGCCTAGAATCGATCCCTGAGGTACCCCTTTATGAATAATTAAACTTCTTGACAATTTTTCATTTTGTTTAACCACCTGAGATCTATTGTTTAGATAAGAAGAAACCATATTGATACTAGACGGTTTTAAATTATAAATGGCTAATTTTTTCAATAAAATATTATGGGAAACGCAGTCGAACGCCTTCGAAAGGTCCAAAAAAGCTGAAACGCCCACTTGTTTCTCTTCTAAACATGTGGACATAAAATCAACAAGTTCTTGCACAGCATCAATTGTGGAAGACTGTTTCCTAAACCCGTACTGGCTCCTTGAGAAAAGGTTATTTGTTTCAAAAAAGCTGTTTAGTTGATTGAACAGTATTTTTTCAAGTACTTTGCCAAATATTGGCAATAACGCTATAGGCCGATAGTTTGACGGGTTATTCGGATCTCCTCGCTTATATATTGGTACAACTACAGCTTTTTTTAAACAGTCCGGAAACGTGGAACCCGCTATGCAAAGATTTATCAGCTTAGTAAGTGGCGATATGATGATATTCTTAATGGACTTTATAATTTTTACATTGATGTTGTATACATCATTAGAGTTCTTACTTTTTATATTCTCAATTGCCTCTCTAACTATTACACAAGATACTGGTTTAAACTCAAAACTGACATGTAAGGCACGACACACATTTAAAAAAGACTTATTAGATAGTGGTAAATCAGGTACATCAATATCACAGACGGAGTTTACATTTTGATCACAGTTAAAATCACAGCTAGTGCCTTTGTCTTCATTATCGTTACATGTGATATTTGATGCAGCATTTACAAAAAAATTATTAAATACATCACATGGGATACTGCACTTATTTGATTCACTATTTGGGACTGCGTATTTACTACGGTGTTGATTAACTATTGCCCACATTGCCTTGATTTTGTTACTTGCTGTAGCAATCGTTTTTTCATTGTATATAAATTTCTTATATTTAATTTTTTCACGATACAGTAATTTAAATTTGTTTTTGGCTTCTTTTGTTTTATCAGTTTGGCATATTTTGTCGATTTCTGTTAAAGCACGCAGTGTACTGCGCATGTCAATTAACTCCTTGTCAAACCATTTAATTGTGTTCATATTGCTAGAGCTGGATACCTTAATTGATTTTGTTGGTAATGCCAAATTTACATTATGTATTACTATGTCTATAAACTTAAGGAATTTGGTATTCAGTTCTAGGTCTTCTGAAAGAATAAAACTCCAGTCAGCTACAGATAGAAAATGAAAAAGATTGTTTTGACCAGACACTGTTATCGGTCGTACTATTTTATATATAGGATTGTTTGTCACATCTGCCGCTAACTGGAGCTCTAGTGCAATTGCCAAATGATCAGATATGCCTGTGTCTACCGGTCTAGTTTTACAATATACTGGATCTAAATTACTGAATATATTGTCTAGACAATTTTGTTTTCTTGTGGGAAAGTTAACCATATGATACAATCCATAGCTGTGCATAAAATCTAATAATTTGTCTTTCTCTGGATTTTTACAATTAAATTTTACGTTAAAATCGCCTGATAAAACTACTGTAGATGTATAGCTATCGATAGTATCTAAAATATTATAAAGAACATCTAAAAACACGTTAAAATCTCCAGACGGCGGACGATATATGTTAATAAAATAAATGTGATAATTACTTATTAAGACGCCAGATACCTCGCAATGATTTTCGCGAGATAATGTCTGTATGTTTTGTAGTGGTAGACAAGTGATGTTGTTGTTGGACATTATCATGGAACCTCCGTAAGGTAATGGCCTCGCAAAATGTGATTTTGATGAGTACTCCTGGATTCTAAGTTCTTCAGCTTCATAGCTTGTCAACCAATGTTCGGAAATCGCTATGACAGAGTAGTCTTCGTTTGAAAGGATTACCTCCAATTCGTTGATCTTTGACCTCAAAGACTGAGTATTAATAACTAGTATATGTAGTGGACGTATCATTTTTGACTTATTAGCTGAAGATAATTTTGCGATTGATTGAGTCAGTTGGTTTCCTGCAAATTTCGGCTCTTCTGAAAAAACCTTGTTACGAGGATTCCATTTGGCCAATTTAATGGATCTGTTGCTTTTGTGAGATTGTGATGGTAAATCGAGATTTTATATGATGAGTATGAGCTTGGGTGCTTCGAAATTAA